CATTTCAAAGTGAGAAAGGTTTTCTATCAGATGGGCCCTTTAAATAAAACTGATATCATTGAATCAGTTTTAAATGTAGAACAGTGTCCTATCACTTTCAAAAGCACAGTGTTGCCACTATTTCTAATTCTAAATCAGTCAGTCATATTTAATCTCGGTGTGTCTTTAAAAAAATATTCACTACATGCCAACATTAAGACCACAAACTCACAACCACAACAAAACAGGAACACCTGAACACTGTAATAAGTCTATCATATGTCTACACAGATGTCCAAAGAAGGTCTAAACGCGAGAAAGAGAGCGATAGTGTTGATAATGTGAAAATATCTGGATTGACATATAGATATAACTCATTAAAAATGATCTAAAATACAGATTACATAACACTTCACACTGAGGAACTGAGGGTAATGAAAACATGCGTAATAACAACCGCGTGCGTTTGGGTGATTCAGCGATTGGGAGGCCATTTGTGTCACTGATGCTACATTTACGAATATGCAAAATATAGATAAACAAATGTAACCCAGGAAAAGTGTCTTTCACAGTAACATTTCTGTAAAAATATTAATAAAACCAATGCCAAAAGTATTTTCGCCTGTTTTAGGCCACTATAACTACACTTCACCTTGAGATATAATAAGTAAAACACTTCATCATCATTATTTTAGTATTAATGTGTTATTATTTAGAATATCCTGCTTTTTCATGAGTCACCCATTATGGATTATGAAAAATGAACATTTTGGTGACCCTCACCATTCACTCGACCCTGTTACCCTGAAATACTCCTTATAACTTCAGTGTGAGTGGGCGGGGCTATAGACCGAATAGGTGGATATATGTAAATAAGTTGGTTCTTATGACATCACAGAAACAGTAATTATAAAGCAGGCTTAGTTTCCGGATATACGTTAACAATATTTACATATAATTTCAAACTCCTTTATTAAAAAATAGAAAACTATGTTTTTCAGTTTTTATATAATTTGAAAATACCTGTTGCTCTTTACATTGTGTGTTAATTTCAAGATGAAAGGCTCAAAAGAAACGGCCCAGAATTACTTGGAAAAACGTCTGGTTCCATTGACTTACATTAAAAGTAAAGTATGTTTTTTGCTTATCCTGTAAAGTTACCATTTTAGAGATACAAGGTTTTGTTCCAACAGCAGCGAAATGGGCCTTTAAGTAAATCATTAGAATGTCCCTCATGTCCTCCGCACTGTCCTTATGTCACTAGCAATGACGCTAATTAACCACATTTTGTGAATTTGCAAATCCTACATTATAAATTCGCCCTGTTACTTTTCAACCCTCTTACTGATTTAAGCCACTGGTCAACAAAGAAACGTCTTAAAAATGAGACATTGTTCCTGAGACGGGTTTACTGGTTAAATGCATGTTTTCTTTTTAGATTCTATGTTGAAAATTGATCACTGAAGTTTGATTTTTAAGAGTCACAAGGCATCCCAATCGGAGAATCTCTCGTTTACATTACAGCATGCATGCAAAGGCCAACGTACAAGATCGCAGGCAAAATACAGCTGTCAGATAATCACACACACATTCCCAATCCTGCCAGGATCGCACAGCTCTTAATGCAACAAGCAAGAAGCGCTTCGTTCTGGAGCACGTTTACGCACAAAGATCATCTGTCAGATTTGCGGATGAGTGCCAGCAGATGCAGCATGATACAGAACACACAGTGCAGGCCATACAGACATGCATGCAAACAGGCAGAAAGACAAAAAGACAGGCAAAGAGAGAGAGAGAGAGACAGGCAGTCTGGCACGATGCAGACAGACAGGCAGACGTGCAGAGGAAGAAAAGTCACAGTAGGGCTGGCCCCTCTAGGTCAACAAGTCGACTATCCAGTCATAACATTCTGGGTTACTTGATCTGAATAAGGTTCAGATGGAAAATAGTGAATCTGCAACGTGTAGTTTTACAGTAATAATTGTGGGGAGATTTTAATCCAGTATGAATCTGCAGTGTGTGTAGTTTTACAGTCTGACAGTAATAATTGTGGAGAGATTTTAATCCAGTATGAATCTGCAGTGTGTGTAGTTTTACAGTCTGACGGTAATAATTGCGGAGTGATTTTAATCCAGTCTGAATCTGCAGTGTGTGTAGTTTTACAGTCTGACAGTAATAATTGTGGAGCGATTTTAATCCAGTCTGAATCTGCAGTGTGTGTAGTTTTACAGTCTGACTGTAATAATTGTGGAGCGATTTTAATCCAGTCTGAATCTGCAGTGTGTGTAGTTTTACAGTCTGACAGTAATAATTGTGGAGCGATTTTAATCCAGTCTGAATCTGCAGTGTGTGTAGTTTTACAGTCTGACAGTAATAATTGTGGAGTGATTTTAATCCAGTATGAATCTGCAGTGTGTGTAGTTTTACAGTCTGACAGTAATAATTGTGGAGTGATTTTAATCCAGTATGAATCTGCAGTGTGTGTAGTTTTACAGTCTGACGGTAATAATTGCGGAGTGATTTTAATCCAGTATGAATCTGCAGTGTGTAGTTTTACAGTCTGACAGTAATAATCTCAGACCAGTGCCTACAGAACAATGCATGTATACACAGAGCATCGACTAACAGGTTGCTCATATAATGTGCTGTTCACTTTGTTGACATGTTAATGTAGAAATGTAAAAGGTGTAAATGGTGATTCATGCTGTACGATAAAAACTAATGTTAAGTTCTGTAGTGTTATTTTTTAAGGTATTAAATCAGACTGTTCGGTCGACCACAGCCGTCCTTAATGGGGGTCAGTCCTAGCAGGCAGCAGGCGTGTGTAGCTGAGCGGTGAGCTGTGAGCAGGGCAGAGCACTCACTTTCCCAGGAAGTCCCACACCATGCCCCCAATCTGCTGAGGGGCGTTGGAGACGGAGGGGGGCGGGTCAGCTGGGGCTCTGCCCCCAGGGCGGGGTGAGGGGCGGGGAATAGGGGGCAGGGGGGCTGGTACAGGGCAGGGTTGGCGGAGTTATGTTTGGATATGATGGGTGTGGTGTGGTAGGGTTTGAGCAAAGTGAGAGAACAGCAGTAAGAGAGAGAAAGAGAGAGATAGATAAAAAGAAAGAGAGAGAGAGAGAGAGAGAGAGAGAGAGAGACAGATAGAGATGCGAGGATTGAGAAAAATGACAGGGAGTCATATTTAACACCACATGAACATGAACAGGTGGGGAAATGAAGAAAGAGGACAGATATAACGGGGGTGTAAAGTGGAATGGCATATATTTTAAGAAGTAAGTTGGAACAACAGTCATGTCAATTCCCAGAAAGGAGAATGTCGGAAGGAAAGAAATGTCAAAAAAGCCACAGAGGGAAAAAGGCAGAGATTTTGGAGGTCAATGATGAGAGGAAGAAGGAAAAACAGGGGATCGAGGATGGCAAAAAAAGGACAGAGAGACATGTGACGAGAGATTTTGGAGAGCAAAAGATACAGGAAAAAGAAAAAAGAGAGAGATTTTTTTTAAAAAAGAAAAAGAGGGAAAGCCAGCAGAAAAGAACAGAAACACACAGAGTTAATCGGAAACCACTAACACTTAAAGCTCAAACAGGGCAACAGAGAAGCGCAGTAACGGTCTGTGAGCTGCAGAGGGCGCCAGTGTAAAACAGACCCTCTCTCTGTGACTCTGCCATCAGTTGCTGTCTTGCTTTCCTCACACTGAGTGAAGACTTTAAGCTAAGACTACTTACAGAGCAGCTCTAGGGCTGCTGTCGAACCTCAGCGAGAGAGGAAGCCCTGATACAGTAAAGGGACAGAGCACTAAAATACAGTGATTATAATAAAAAGACCCTGATGAAAATAAAGAAATTAATTAAGCTGTAAAAGCAGGAACACATAATTACACGAACACAGTATTTACAGCAAGACAAACTGGAATAAGCAGATCTCATAGGCTGGATAGGCTTTGTGGGCTAACAGGCCAAATTTGGTTCAAGGTTTAACTTAAGTTAAACCTGGGGAGTAAAATTTGGGTTTAACTCACTGGAGCCATGAGACATGCAAATGGTTCTTTGGCATGTTCGTGGTTCTACATAGAACCATTGTCGATACTCAACTGACAATTAAGGCTGTAAGACTGACTGCTACTAATGTTCATAGCGATACAACATATCATTGCTGTTGGAACAAACCTCATACCCCCAAGAAGTAACTTTACAGGGGCAACAAAAGACAGTTTTAACTCTGAATATAAGTTCATGTAACAAGGTTTAATTCAAAGTCACTTTGGGCCATTTTTATTGGTCAGATCATGAAATTTTGACACAATTTAAGAACCACGTATTTTCAAATTATGTAAAAAAAAATGTTGTTCCAACAGCTGCAATATATGTGTAGATTTATCTGTCCCTTTAAATAGAAAATAGTTGATGAATTAATTTTTTTTTTTTTTTACCAAACTATAAAATCTTGTTTGTTATTTTGTGTCACATAAATTTCCATTACTTAATCGGTTACTATTACAGTGTATTAATTAATATGTATTAGCACAAATTAATAAAATAACTGCATAAACTGAACGAAATAAACGTCACAGCAGGCATTTTCCTTAACACAGTTTGTTCTAGTGACAACAATCAAGAATTTCTGTCACAATCATCATTACACAGAGAAAAAATCCCCTCTTCCCATTGAAAATAAAGCATCCTTCATCCTCTACAGTTCTGAATGATACATGAATAAATCTCCAAAACTTACACTGAAATTACTATAATAAGAGCAACTCAAATTGAAGGCAACTCACATAAAAACCAATAACAATAAATAAATTTTGTTAACTCTATGGTGTCTATCATTGTGCCAGTGGAGTAAAAACATTCTCTCGCTCTCTCTATCTATCTATCTATCTATATATCTATCTATCTATCTATCTATCTATCTATCTATGAAGCTATACAAAACCAGCCTTTGCTACGATAGCTCTCACAGGGCTAACTGGATCTTGTGTAATGTGTCTCTGCTAAAGTAAAGTGAATAAGCTCACCTCTCCAGCTCTGCGATCTTTTTGTCCTTGTCGTTTTTCTCCGTCTCCACCTCCCGCAGGATCTCCAGCAGTCTCTCCACTTCTGCCTGGGATTTGCCGGACTCCTCCTTGTAGAAAGACACCTCCTTCTCCAGGAGCTTCACTCGATCCACATAATCCGGGTTCCCCCGAGAGCCCTGCTGGACCTCCACCTCGTGGGCCTTCTGCACACAGAGGACAGTGGAACGGATGCATGTTCCGGTTAACCAGCTGAGGCATCAGGTGTCTCCAACCCTCCTCATGGAGGAACTGGTTTACTGCACTCTCGCAAGCCAGACTTCTGAATATCACCAGAGAGTCCGGAAGGTTTCGCTGTTCAGTTCAGCCAAAAACAGCCTGCTATGATTCATTTGTACAGGACTTTTTTCCAGCCTCTGTTCATCCCAATTTAATTAAACAGGCTGAGTCTTACGAAGTCTTTGAGGTTGATGAATGTAAGTATTTTCGGTTCTGATTGACTGACCCCTTCACAAGTCAAAAATAAACTTCAGCTACTCCCTTCAGATGTGTGGAAGGCTGCAATGGTCCATTTGCTTCCTGACAGCCATGAGCAGTACCACGTTTAATTGTTTTCCCCTCTGTTTTCTTTCACTCAAGTAATTCTGCTACAGACTGCCTGCAGAAAAAACACTCAACACTAAACTAAACTGCTGTAGGCTGAACGTGTGGGGCTAAACTAGTGTAGGCTGAATGGGGGGGGCTAAACTAGTGTAGGCTGAATGGGGGGGCTAAACTAGTGTAGGCTGAATGGGGGGGCTAAACTGCTGTAGGCTGAAAGGGGGCTAAACTGATGCAGGCTGAATGGGTGGGGCTAACCTGCTGTAGGCTGAAAGGGGGCTAAACTGATGCAGGCTGAATGGGTGGGGCTAACCTGCTGTAGGCTGAATGGGTGGGGCTAAACTGCTATAAGCTGAACAGGCGGGATTAAACTGCTGTAGGCTGAATGGGTGGGGCTGACCTGCTGTAGGCTGAATGGGTGGGGCTGACCTGCTGTAGGCTGAATGGGTGGGGCTAGACTGCTGTAGGTTGAACGTGTGGGGCTAAACTGCTATAGGCTGAATGGGCGGGGCTGACCTGCTGTAGGCTGAATGGGTGGGGCTAGACTGCTGTAGGTTGAACGTGCGGGGCTAAACTGCTATAAGCTGAACAGGCGGGGTTAAACTGCTGTAGGCTGAATGGGTGGGGCTAAACTGCTATAAACTGAACAGGCGGGGTTAAACTGCTGTAGGCTGAATGGGTGGGGCTGACCTGCTGTAGGCTGAATGGGTGGGGCTGACCTGCTGTAGGCTGAATGGGTGGGGCTAGACTGCTGTAGGTTGAACGTGCGGGGCTAAACTGCTATAGGCTGAATGGGCGGGGCTAAACTGCTATAGGCTGAATGGGTGGGGCTGACCTGCTGTAGGCTGAATGGGTGGGGCTAGACTGCTGTAGGTTGGACGTGCGGGGCTAAACTGCTATAGGCTGAATGGGTGGGGCTAGACTGCTGTAGGCTGAATGGGTGGGGCTAGACTGCTGTAGGTTGGACGTGCGGGGCTAAACTGCTATAGGCTGAATGGGCAGTCAAATGTACATGTGCTCATGGTTGTGACATGACAAGCATGATGAATTCACGGGCTGTGTGTTTGAAACTGTAAGGACCGGGAAGTGAACTGTACATTCTGAAACCTTTACGTTTACGAAGGTCATCAAAATCTTTAGGTCATACCTTCTGCAGCTGCGTCTCCAGCTTACTGCACTCCTCTTTCTTCTGCTCAATGGCAATCTCCAGAGATTTGAGCTTGGAGTCTTTCTTGAGGCCAGATGAGGCCAGGGAAGAGGCATGCTCTTTCAGATCTATTAGACTGGACTAGAGACAGAGAGAGAAAGGGACAGAGAGAGACAGAGAGACAGAGGAAGAGAGAAAGGGAAAGAGACAGACAGAAAGAGAAACGACTGAAAGACAGAATGGAAGTTGACAGATAGGACACTAGAAGAAAGACACAAGCAAAACTATGCAGAGCACAGCACATGTATTCATCCAACAGATACCGATACAAACACAGACTGACACACACATGGACACACAACCTGACACAGACACGGACATGTGAGGACACAGAAACACACAGTTACGCAAAACACCACATGTATACAATTACACAAAACGACACAAATACACAGTCACACAAACAGACACACATAAACAGTTACACAAAACATCATGCATATACGGCTACACAAAAGGACACGCACATTCACAGCTACACAAAAGGACACGCATATATAGTTACACAAAAAGACACATATACACACATTTACACAAAAGGAAACGCATATACACAGTTACTCAAAAGGACACGCACATTCACAGTTACACAACAGGACACATATACACAGTTACTCAAAAGGACACGCACATTCACAGTTACACAACAGGACAATCACGTACTCAAAGGCCCACATCACAGTTACACAGAACATATACACAGTTACACACAAGGACACGCACATTCACAGTTACACAAAAAAGACAAACAGTTACACAAGAAGACATGTATGTACAGAGTTACACAAAAGGACACGCATACACACAGTTACACAAAAAAGACATACACAAAAGGATATGCATATTCAGACAGTTACACAAAAGAACAAATACAAACAAACAGTTATACATAAAGACATACACAGTTAGACATGAGGACACATAGTTACACAAAAGGACAAACATGTACACATATGCACACATAATATTAGACATAGACAAGGACATTCATAAATGCATATGCACACACAGCGCCACAAACAGAAAAACACACACGCTAATATGAACACACACATACACCCACATACATACACAGTCTGTAAAATTTTGGGGACACTTGGATTTTCAAAACGTTTTGTTTATTGGTCTGCAATATCTTTCCCCATTAAAGACAAGTCTTTGTGCTTTAAGCAATTGTTCGGGAAAAGAAAACTATCAAATAATTATTGAGGCAAAACCTGCTCTTCACACTAAGCAAGATGTGTTCTTTTCAGGCCTGGGCAACATTTGTTGCCTCCTGTCTCGCCACTGGCCGAGTTCCGGCACTTCTTCCACTTCATCTTTGGTCCCCTGCTCATGAATGAATGGAACTACCCAATGAAATTGAGTTGGTGGGGGGCGTATATTCAGGCTCCAGCCCCTGTACTGCTGAGAGGACAGATGGTGACACAGTGGGCATGGATGTCTTCGCAGCCCCGCCTGCTACAGATAAAGCCACTGTCAAGCAGGCATTGATGCTTTTAGCGCCGCCCAGCGCCTCAGAGAGCACCAGCGAGCACTGTCTTGTCCCACAGCACTGCCAAGCAGGTGTCGGGTCCTAAAACCTAACCTAAAAAGTGCTCCAGAGTGCACCAACAAGCAGGTGCCTGACCCTTTGCTCAGCGCTTTCCAGTGCTGGCTTCTCAAGTTATTCCAGTGCTGGCTTACCAAGCTTCTCCTCCAGTGCTGGCTCTCTGAGCTGCTTCAGTGCCAGCTCCATGAGCTACTCTAGTGCCAGATCCATAGATGGCCCCAGGGCCAGTCTCACAGGCTTTTTCCTCTCTGTGCCAGCTCCTGGAGCTGCTCTTCCAGTCATTCAAGCTTCCAGAGATTTCATACCATCTGCCCTGGCCCTGACGAGGGCTCCATTCCTGACCCTTGCCCTGACCAGGGTCTTATTTAGTTGTCTGTGGTCTCATCAGTTCCTGCCCAGTTGCATGCAGCCCTGTCCTCATCCATTCCTGACCCACTACCTGCTTTCCCATCCAATCCTGCCCCACTGCCTACAGTCCCATCCATTCCTGCCCCACTACCTGTAGTCCCATCTATTCATGCCTCACTGCCAGTGGTCCCATCCAACTCTGCTTCACTGCCTGTCGTCCTGTCCAACCCTGACCCACTGCCTGTGGTCCCATCCAGCCCTGCCCCTCTGCCTATTGTCCCAATCAATCCTGCCCCACTACCTGTGGTCCCATCTATTCATGCCCCACTGCCTGTGTTCCCATCCAACCCTGCCCCTCTGCCTGTTGTCCCATACAATTCTGCCCCACTGCCTGCTGTCCCATCCATTCCTGCCTTGCTGCCTGCAGTCCCATCCATTCCTGTCCCGCTGCCTGCAGTCTCATCCATTCCTACCCCGCTGCCTGTAGTCCCATCCATTCCTGTCCTGCTGCCTGCAGTCCCATCCATTCCTACCCTGCTGCCTGCAGTCCCATCCATTCCTGCCCCGCTGCCTGCAGTCCCATCCATTCCTACCCCGCTGCCTGCTGTCCATCCATTCCTACCCCGCTGCCTGCAGTCCCATCCATTCCTACCCCGCTGCCTGCAGTCCCATCCGTTCCTACCCTGCTGCCTGCAGTCCCATCCATTCCTGCCCCGCTGCCTGCAGTCCCATCCATTCCTGCCCCACTGCCTGTGGTCCCACCCAATCTTGCCCCACTGCCTATCGTCCCAATCAATCCTACCCCACTACCCGTGGTCCCATCTATTCATGCCCCTCTGCCTGTTGTCCCATCCAATTCTGCCCCACTGCCTGCTGTCCCATCCATTCCTGCCTTGCTGCCTGCAGTTCCATCCATTCCTGTCCTGCTGCCTGCAGTCCCATCCATTCCTGTCCCGCTGCCTGCAGTCCCATCTATTCCTACCCAGCTGCCTGCAGTCCCATTCATTCCTGCCCCGCTGCCTGCAGTCCCACCCAATCTTGCCCCACTGCCTGCAGTCTTATCCAACTCTGTCCCGCTGTCTATAGTCCCATCCAATCCTGCCCCACTGGCTGTGGCCCTATCCACTCCTATCATCTGCTTGCTTTGAGAACTACAGATGTTGGATTGCCCCTAAAAAGCTACTCAGTACATTCATACTGCTTCAACTCCCCGTATGTTACACTGAGTGTTGAAGTTAAATATATCCATACATATTTTTAAATATACCCAAAAATATTTATTCTTACTGAACTGAAAAGTAACGCTGAGAAAATTAAAAAGTGTCCCCAAACTTTTAATATGGATGCAAACTAACACACTCAGTCTTACCTCTTTCTCTGTAAGCTCCACCTGCAGCGTGCTGACCTTCTCCTTCAGGTCTTTATTCTCTTTCTTATAGGACTCCAGTTCCTCCATCCTCTCTCTGTCCTCTCTCTCTCTCTGCTCCTTCAGACGCTCGATAATACGCTCCTAAAGCACGAACAGACAAAATTCTCACAATTACATTTAATATTCACACTCACATTAAATTATACAGGTGGGTAGTAACTAGTTACATGTGTTCAGTTCCATGTACTCAAGTAAAATTAGGATTTGTGCTTCTCTGAGTATTTTCAGATGATAATACTTCTACTTCCACTCAAGTATAATTATGGTAGTGGGCAGTATATCTCTATACTGTCATAATCGTTATACAGGTATGCCTCAAATAAGGCAAATAATGCTAAAAACACTCAAAAAAGAAGCCGCACAGAGCTTCTGCAAAAAAGCTTGTCCAACTTCAAAAAGCTTGTCCAAAAGAACTTTTCTCATGGTTAACTGTGGGGTTTTTCTCAAAACTGTTCATTGTTGTCATTCTTCTTGAGATGATGCATCGCAAGTGATTTAATTTCTTATTTTTAAGATTAATATATTCCATCATCATCCTCTTATGCCTTCATACAGTTTAACAGTTCTGGATATAAAAGAGTAGGAGGCTATGTTTTTTTCCCACTTTTATGAAAGGCTGCAGTTTTGCAGATCATTTCCTCGCAGCATAAAGCACGGAGAGCTGTAAAGAGGTTTTTTATGTTCATATGCATATCTCAGCAGGCAAGTGGGAAACGTTATTCATTTCTCTCAAAGAAAATCCCTCACAGCCAAAAGCACTGCTGAGCTGTCACAGCAAGCTTTTGAACATTTCTTTATGCGCTTCTTTCACTTTCATCTAGTTTCTGCTTTTCCAGTTATTTGATTTTCTATTTTATTTTTTGACACATGCACAGTAATTCATACTGCCGTCTATAATGTGATCCCTACTGGGGTTAACTGAGTAATTCATACTGCTGTTTGGTGAGTAATTCCATTTAAAGTGATTCACCTTCTCGGACAAGGCCTCCTCCAGTGTGGCTAAAGCTGTGTCTGTGTTGGTAGAGTCCGTCTGCAGAGACTTCACGCGGTCCTTCAGGTTCCCCAGCTGTTTATCCTTGTCCCGCAGCTGTTCCTGCAGGTTCTCAATCTGAAAGACAAAGAGAGGAAGAGAGATTTATTCTGCTTCTTTTGGTCTAGTTCAATTTTACACCAGAGATGTTCACAAGCCAGATCTTGAGTGTTTAGTAAAGAATTTTAGCTTGTATTGATTGTGGCTGCAGGCAATTCGACACAGACTCAAATAGCAAGCCTTTCATTATTAAAACCCTTCAGTCTGCAGGACAGAACTGAAGTGCTACACACAGTAAATATGGTGTTTAAAGGAAAGAGGCAGAACTATTCTAAACGGTTGGTTAGCCTATAGTTTGTATAGCAAGCTAGCTAACTAGCATAATAGCTAATCCAGCTGAAAGTTCTGCAATTTACTAAAACTTCAGCTAGATTAGTTTTGTGCCAGCTAGCATACTTGCTAACCAAACTACACGCTTGCCAACCAAGTTGTTTTGCCTCTTTCCTTTAAACACCGCATTTCTGTCCATCAGACTGAAAGCTTTTTCTGTAATGAAAGCCTTGTTATTTGAAGCCGTACGACGTGGCCGTGAAAGTTTTATTTATCTCATTAAGGCTGGTGGTCTTAATTTAAAAAGTTTTGTTCTCAGGCTGAAATTCCACTCATTCTTAAGTCTGTCACAAGTCAGTTAAGTCCAAGTCATGAGTCAGTCAACATTAAGCTCAAGTGTGACTTGAGTCTAAATCACAAATGACTCACATAATGTTTTAACCTTTTCAACTCCTTGAGACCACCGGTGGTTCCAAAACGCACTTCGTCATGTTCTTCATAACTTTCATATTTCATAAGCTACATTCTAAAGGTGGGGGTCGTATGAGGCTGTAACTGTCTTCTTTCCAGTCAAATAGATGGGTGATGTAATTTAAACCCTTATAATAAAAGAAGCTGAACTTGCAACTTTTTTTTTCTACTGAAAGTCGACCCATTTTTCCACAAATCTGGGCTATAAACTATAAACAGATGGCATCTCTTCAGTGATCTGCTCTGTAAACATTATTTTTATAAAAAAATACAAAGAGCGTCTAAGATTTTTGGCTTTCAGTAGCAAATTGTAAGCATATAGCAATATGTGTGATCATAAAACACATGTTCTGTTAATTTGAGGGGAGCTTTTAAAATAAATAAATAAATAAAATAAAAATTTACATTTATTTCATGCAGTTACTGAATAATTTGCCTTACGATTTGGTCATGTTCCATCAGATGGAAAAACCAAAATATAACCTGGTCAAACTGTATTAGGCAAAAAAAAATTATAGTATATTTTGTTATATTATATATTATATATATTATGTTTGAAAACGGCAGGCGGATCCTCATAGCAGAGCACTATGAACGTTCAAAATGTGATGTTATATGCAACTAACAGATATGGGCCCTTCGTCCACCAGACAAGGATGAATAATGAGGCTGTGGATCATAACACATATTTATATACAGCAGAGCTGATGTAGGATCTTACAGTGATATCCTCAAGGGTGTGATGTCATTCATAAATACTGATCAGGGATCCTGCACTGCTTTAAGCCTTGGGTTCACTACACGACTTTTAAAGTCTGAACAGATTATAAAAGACTGGGCGTCTCACACTGTCCGACTGGTTTTGCAGATTTTTTTGGGCGACTGAAATGTTAGGGATCACACACTAAACGATTAGGGGTCACACACTACACAACTTTTCAGCTGTTGCTGAACCGAACGGAACTCACTGAACTCGCGCAAACTCTCGCGTTCTTCCGATACTAGGAGACGCAAATAAACAAACATGTTTTGGCTGCTGCTGTTTTCTCTGCCGTTTGCGCTGAAACAGTAAAGAAGCAGCAGGTAAACATGTTTAAGTGGATCATGGATTAAAAAAAATGTGATCAGTTTGGTATTTTTAGAGTTTTAAATGTACATAAACTCAATTGTGCCTTAAACTCAGCTCATTAAAAAGCTTCGCTCCACACGCGAGAGACTTTTCGCCATTTTTGTTTGTTTACATGCGCTCTCGGTTTTCATTGGCTGTTGCAGGAATCTGTTCAGATTGAGTCGTTGACCAGTTTACACTAGATTTCGAATCAAACATGTTTGATAAACTTCGATTGGTCTGAAACGCGATTAGGAGGCCAAAAATCTGAGTCTGCGTCCCTCAAACACGACTCGATTCTCTCGCCAACTGTCGACTCAGACTGACCCAAAAATCTGCAGACTAGAGCCGACCAGCTCAGACACGGCCAGACTAAGAATCAGGGCTAAAATCGGGTAAAACTTGTGCAGTGTAACCCCGGTTAAATGCATAACTCTCAGCTTTCCTGGACTGTCCAGACTGATTCTCTGTGATAAAACTTTTACAAACAGCACCATCACCTTCCACGGCCTGTTTATGAATAAACCATGATCATGAATAACACTGAATAAATAAGAGATAGAGCTGTTCGCTGTTACTCCGGACGCCAGCGTAATATCAGCCACAGCTGGAGCGGAAGAATGTTATTGACCTGCACTTTATCACACAGAGCTCAGAGGTCAAAGGTCAAGTGGGGGGTTGACACTACAGAGGCCAGAGACAGAGAGAGCATATGTGTGTGTGTGTGTGTGTGTGTGTGTGTGTGTGTGCGCTTTTCACAGCCAGTGAACAACATCAGAAAAGGTTTATGGACCCAGTGAGGTGTGTTATAATACAGAGGTGTAGAGAGAGATAAGAAGGGTGGTAAAGGAAGAGATAGAAGAAGAGAACAGAGGAAGGAGGGAGTGAAAAGAGAGATGGAGGTCTGCTACATGACAAAACATTGAGTTTCGGGACAATTTTCACAACTTGGGTTTGTTTTCTACTGAGCGATTTTGTAATGTGGTACATTTAATGTGGTAATGTTATAACTGAAGTTTGGGGGGAGAAACGTGGCTGAAACTCCTCCTTCTTCCAATTTAACACCCTATAAATCCACTGTTCCCATAACAAACTGTTCACAATCCCCACCACCACCCCATCTCCTCCCTGTTCCTCAGTCCTACATCAGTCCTACTACAGCTATGAGGGGGTCTGGCCTTCTAGCTTCAGGCAGACGCTGCCCAGAACTCCAGCCCAAGTTCTCAGAGTTCTCCCCCTCCCTCAGTCTCTCCCCATACTACCACCATGATCTAAACTCACAAAATGCAGATTTTGCACAGTATTACTGCAGTAGTGAGAGGACCTTTAGCTCAGTGGGGCTAAAGAGGGTGCATGCTGCTCTCTGTCAGGTACGACCAGCAATTCCACCGAAATATACTGAAAATAAATACTGTTAGTGTATTACAGTAAAATACCAGTTTATCTCATTTCATTTTCTGTAGCTCAGCTGAAGCGCTTAGTAACTCAGGAAATCTCTGTAAAACCATGACTGTGACAACCCCTCTCTGTTAGTGCACGCAGGGTCGGGACAGGTTCAAGTTTCAGATTTAGCAGAACCAGAGAGGCCTGGTCAGGTCGGGTCTCACAGTGCTGCCTATCCAGGCCTTGAGCGAGAGAGAGAGGATATAGAAGGGCAGTAAGAGATAAAAAAAGATGTAAAACGACTGAGATGAGAGGATAAAAGGGAGAGAGACAGAAACTGAGTAACAGGAAGTAAGAGAGTAGGAACGGAGAGGGAGTGAGATGAGAAAGAAGGAGGGGTGAAGCAGGAAGAATTAGTGAGAGAGAAGAGAGAGAGATGGAAGGAAGGAGAGGGGTATTGAGAGTGACACTACTCATGTATTTATAGCACTGGCAGCAGCTACTGAAGCAGAAATACATTAAAAGCCTCAGCCCACAACACACACCCACACAGAATATCAAAGCCAATACCGCACCCAAAAAACAATATACACCAAAACACAACACTGCACAAAAACACAACACTGCACCCAAAAAACAACACTGCACCCAAAAAACAATATACACCAAAACAACACTGCACCCAAAAAACAGTATACGCCAAAACAACACTGCACCAAAACACAACACTGCACCCAAAAAACAGTATATGCCAAAACAACACTGCACCAAAACACAACACTGCACCCAAAAACAACACTGCACCAAAAAAAAACAATATACACCAAAACAACACTGCACCAAAAAAACAACACTGCACCAAAAAACAACACTGCACCCAAAAAAAAACAATATCTATCAGAACACTGCACCCTAAAAAAACAACATACACCAAAACTACACTGCACCCAAAAACAACACTGCACCCAAAAAAAAACAATATCTATCAGAACACTGCACCCAAAAAAAACAACATACACCAAAACTACACTGCACCCAAAAACAACACTGCACCCAAAAACCATATACACCAAAACAACACTGTACCCAAAAAAACATAAGCACCAAAACAACACTGCACCCAAAAAAACATATGCTGCAAAACAACACTGCACCCAAAAAAACAATGTACACCAAAACAACACTGCACCCAAAAAACAATATACACCAAAACAACACTGCACCTAAAAACACTGCACAAAAAAAAACAATATATACCAAAACACTGCACCCAAAAAACAACACTGCACCCAAAAAACAATATACACCAAAACAACACTGCACCCAAAAACAATATACACCAAAACAACACTGCACCCAAAAAAACAATATACACCAAAACAACACTGTACCTGAAAACAACACTGCACCCAAAACAATATACACAAAAAAAACTGCACCCAACCATAATAAATGCCACAATAACTGCACCCAAAAATTTGTGGTGTATTGTTTTTGGGTGTGAAGCACTCTGTGTTGTATTTAATGTACATCTAATGTCTACACAAATAAAGATCACTGTCTTTTGTTGATTATACCCATTTAACCTTTGACCTTAATGTCTTACATGACCTACTTTCTTCTGCAGGACGTTGATCTTGCGCTCTTTGACCTCCAGCATGTCCTTCATGTCGCGGATCTCCCCAGCCAGCGTTCCTTTCTCCTCTGTAAGGTCCTGTAGCTGTTTGCTCTTCTTATTGAGGAAGGACTCCTTCTCCTCCAGACGCAGCCGAAGAGCGTCCACCTATGGGACACAGCAGGTCCAGGGTCAGTCTGGACACACTCGCTGCCCAGCTCTTCAAAAGCCTTTTACTGATGTACAGTCAGATCCCTGTGCTCATTAAAGGCCGGCTGATACAGTGAAACCAACAAAACGGCTAACGCTGGCTTTACTTAACGCATGTTGTGAGTTGCATGCAATTTAGCTTTCATGCAACTTGACAGTTACACAAGGCAATTCAATGACAAAGTTGCGTGCAACATATTTGATTACTCCATTAGTTAGCCAATTTAGCAGCTTGCATTTCTTTAAAACCATCTGCATGCAGTCATCAGCATGGTGTTATTTACATGTTTACAGCATTTTTTTATAGTTAATATGGCATTAATTTCTCTTTCTTTGTGTTTTTACTACATATTTGACTTTTAAATCTGTTTTGTGTATATTAACCTTTAAAAATGAATGTCTAAACAAGCACTGTGGTTGAACCTTAATGCCTCGCTCATCCTTTCCTAGAAGCACTGCAAGTCCATTGAGGAGTGCAATGAATCTCCTCTTCTGTAATATTTATCATCACTTTGAGCCCAAATACATCTGAGCTGTGCATAAAATTAGGTATTAGGTAAAGAAATTTATGTATATCATGATAACAACAGGATGTAGTACAGGGGTCAGCAACATGCGACTCTTTTACTGCCCTGTTGTGGCTCCACAGCTGAATCAGATTTGTAGGTAATAATAAAATAATCCTCCTTTACAGTAAAATAAAGCTCTGCTGATCGTTCAACACAGTTCAACAATAAATGTTCTTAAACTCTGGAGTTAATGTAGAACTGCTAATTCACCCTTTAACCCTGAAGATCAGCACAGACTGCTGGTCACCATAGCAACACACAACAATCTAGCTAGTAGCTAACCAAAAGGCAAAGAAAGAGATTTAAGACGAAAGATCGATAATTTAGAGACGAATTTATAATCACTCCAGCTGGTTTCCTGGTACGTTTAATCTGCAACGAGAAACTGACAAACACTAAAAAGTCACGAAGCTGAAGTCGCTTCTCATTCGCCAGCTTCTTGTTAAAATTTTCCAACTTAAATTGTGCCTGAGGTGGCAGAATGTAACTGTGGCACCATTTAAGGTGGAACGGGAAAATTAGAACAAGAAGCTTGCAAATGAGAAGCGTCTTCAGCCTCGTAAACAGTCAGACATTGAGAGACATTTTACAAGAAAATGTTCAACTTTTGCAGAAAAGTTTCCTGCCAGAGATGCGAGAAAAGCGGCTATAACTAAGCTAAAGCTTAAAGCAGAGCAAAGTAAGTCTGTTTTTCGTTTATATTTTTCATCCTATACTAGTACATTAGCACACACTGAGACATATTAGCTGAGACACGTTAGCTGGCTGGTTAAACCAGCCGGTTACAGAAACGTTAGCTTTCAGAAACTCTTGTTTGAAACTTTCAACCTTTTATAAAGCCAATCAAAATCTTATTTTCATCTGTTAGATCATCTTCAGTTTCATTTTCTTGTCTATTGATTCTGTACAATCCATCGCTTGCTTTTGTGATCATGCGCTATCAGCGTTTTGATTGGCTGTTTTATGGAGTTTGCAGCTCTTGTGGCTGAGTTTCAAGGCTCAGCCTTCCAGGATGCTGTGCATTATGAAACTCAAGTACAATTTAGTTTCATGTAGGTTTCAAGCAACTGAAATTGCAAGGTAGTTTCACAGTGTGAAGCCTCAGACTGCTGAGAGGATGGGCACTTCATGTAGATGCATCTAAACGTTTGACTGGCGCTATATAGAAGAAAGTGTGTGCGCGCGCATGTGTGTGTGTGTGTGTGTGTGTGTGTGTGTGTGTTTGTGTGTGTGTGTGTGTGTGTGTGTGTGTTTGTGTGCGAGACCTCGGTCTGCAGGATGGCTGCGCGCTGCTCTTTGGCCGTCAGAGACTCTTTCAGCACTTCTATATGCTGCTTGCAGTCGGAGTTCTGATTGTTCAGAGTTTCCAGCTTCGTCTGCAGAGCCAACAACTCCGACTCCTTCTTAGACAACTCCTGCTTTAGCTGGTCAATCTGAGAGAGAGAGAGAGAACAGAGAGGAAGAGAGAGAGAACAGAGAGGGAGAGGGAGAGGGAACAGAGAGAGGAAGAGAGAGAGAGAGGACAGAGAAACAGACAGGGAGAGAGTGAAAGAGAACAGAGAAGGAGGAGAAGAGAGAGAAAGAGAGAGAGAGAGAGAGAGAGAGAGAGAGAGAGAGAGAGAGAGAGAGAGAGAGACAAACTTATAATACCAGACTTCGAGGAGTACAATAAAAAAACTGCCACCATGTTTTCTGTTACACTGATTAATAGATAATGTCCTATACACTATGTGTCCAAAAGTTTGTGGACACCTCTTCTTATAAGTGAATTCAGCTGCATTAAGGTGACTCAATGCTGACACAGCAGTTCACAGACACACAGCTTGTAGAATCTCCAGAGAAAAGCACTGACAATAGAACAAGACGCTCTGGATCAGCCACACATGGTCACCATGCCCAACGCCAAGTGTGGACTAGAGGGGTATAAAACGCCCCAGCATTGGGCTGTGGAGCAGTGAAACTGGTTCTCTGGAGAGATGGAGCTCCATCCAATACCTTTGGGATGAGTTGTAGTGATCCAGAACTGACTATCCAACCTGACCTCACTAATGCTCAATCAAATCCTCACAGCAATGTTCAACATCTAGTGTAAAGTCTTTCTGTTACTGCAGCAAAAGGGGACAAACTCCTTTTTTAATACTCTTGTTTTTGAAAGAAACATTGGATGAGCCATGTAGTGTAGACAGACAGCTAAACAGTTGGTGTTGCTGTTAAACAGTGCTGCTCTGTGCCTTGTAGCAGGACCGGTGTAAACAGTGTGGTGCCAGCGTTACTGTAATAACTGCCGTTCCTGCTGGTGTGGGAGCGACACTGTTAGCCACTGTTTATATTAAAGAGAGTTTTGAACACAAACTGCCGTCTCCCATGTATTTTCTTTGTCTGGTGTTGTTGTAGATGAGCAGGTAAGCCTGCAGTGTACAGCACCTGACTTTCTAAAAAAACATCAACATCCAGTTTATACCCCTGCAGCGGCCAGCAGGAGCAGTTGGGAAATTTCACCTTGAGGGAACTTTCGGAATGTCGCTGTTGCCGCTGGTGGCAGTGATGATTCCTTATTTAAGGTAGGACAAAGTGTCAGGAGGACGCTCTGGGGCCAGATTCACTAAAGAGTCTTAAAAAAAAACTTGCAAAAGTTCTTTAGACAAACACTCAGAAGTTCATAAGAATGTTCTTAAATGCAAAAAAATCTCAAAAAAAGTTCTTCAGTATTCTCTTAAGATAATCTTAATTATTTTCTTATGATTTTCTTACGAAAATCTTTATTGTGTTCTTATGTAGGCATTTTACCACGGACCGTAAACAATGTGAGCTACACTGTGAATCTGTATTAACTGTTATTTTTGTTTAGTTTAATCCACTCAGAGAAAAACATCAAACCCTTGTGTGGTGTTGATGTGTTTGTTACTCAGTGGTCTGCTGGACCCACCACATTATTGTTTATTAAATCAATACAGTCATAACAATTTATGTAGAAATACCAGATGTTTAAATATCACAAGTGTCCAGTGTAGGGTTCTCCTTTAGCAGCTGTAGCCAGTCAGCAGCCTGTCCATATTGTCCACCCTCACACACACACACACACACACACACACACACACACACACACACTAACAGCAGGCCATGTAGGAGGAGAACAGAGTGAAGGACACAGCACCTCCACACTTTTACTCCCTGAAGGTTCAGCCCAACACCACCTGTGTAATATAAATGTGTGGGGGGTGAACAGAGTGAAGACACTGAAAATGGGTTATTTTATATGTTCTTCACAGAAAATGAGCAAAGGACAAGAATCTGAGGTTGAAATAATAATAATAATAAATCATCATTTTTTCTTTTGGTAAACACTAAAAATGAGTCCCACAGACCTGAACACCACACAAGGGTTAAACAATTTTAGCAAACAAGAACTAGATGTGATGGAGCAAAACAGCCAACAGGAAAAAAATCCTGACTGAAAAATATATCTGTGGGGTGACGGACGAGGATGAGGAGCAGCAGCGGCAGCGTCTGTGAGGAATCTAGATGCTCACCTTGTCAACTTACAGCCTAAGACAAGTGTGAGGATGTTGTAAGGTTAACAAAACATTTAAGAACATATTATCAAGAAATTCTTTAGAAAATAGTTAAGAAAAGAAAATAAGAGAATTCTTAAGAAGTTATTTGAAGAACAACAATTTCTCACAACGTTTTTCTTAAGAATGAAGTTCAGACAAAACACACATTTAAGAAGATTTTCCTTCTTAAGACACGTTCGTAAATCCGGCCCCTGAACTCTGAATGTTTGGTGGTATAATGCAGGGTTCACCCAAAAATCAGCACTCCTTCACATATTAACCAACAGACGACACTTAAATGGATTTGAAGATTGTTACTGTGTAATGTTTGCAGAGATTTTGTGTTTTACTGCTGAAAGAATTTTAGAATTTTACTGCTGAAAAACTGACGTTAGTAGCTCTGACCTTAAAAACGGGGAGCGCAGTGGTCAGTTTAGTCTGAAATATTCCACACTATCACATTCATCTGCATCACAACCTCAGTATGATGGGGTTGTACTTCTCCGTGTTGTATGGCACAAAAAAATAAGACCGTTTTTTGATGGGAGGACAAAACAGCGTCATGTCAAAAAATGTCAGTTTGGCTCAGATGGAAAAACTCACATCACCTTTAAACAGACATTATCTGAGGTAACTGATATAATGTAATAAAGTATACTTTCATGTTTATGATATATATCGCTGTTCTCAGAAAAAATCTCCATTTTTGTCCGTTTTTCAGTTTTTTTTACATAATTTGAAAATACCTGTTGCCCTTTACATTGTGTGTGAATTTCATGATGAACAGAGCAAAAGAAACGACCCAAAATGACTTGGAAAAAAGTCTGGTTCCATTGGATTACATTAATAGTAAAGTAGGTTTTTCCTTCTGCTGTAAAGTTATCATTTTGGAGATGCGAGGTTTTGTTCCAACAGCATCGAGATATACATACAGCTGCTGTCTATATATATACATATATATAGACATATTCTATATATATATTTATATATGTCTATATATATATATATATATATATATATATTATACATACATTCTAATATATTCTGATAATTTTAGTCACATTGTCATCAATTCTTGTACTCTGTAGAGGATTTATATATATATATACATCCTCTACAGAGTACAAGAATTGATGACAATGTGACTAAAATTATTTTTATGGCTGAATATGGTCTGACGGCGTGGAAAGCAAAACTCAATGACGTATAAATAATCTAATTTCTCTTTCATTCAATCGGTGCATTTTATATTAATGTGAAAACTATAGAAAATTTAGTTTGCCCTCCAGCATCTATTACTACACTGTAAAAATGCAGCTTTTAAACTTGATATGTTCAAATAACATAAACATAATTCTTCACTTAACTTGATATGACACTGAACTCAGAATTAACCTGGCTAAGCTTAAAAGCTGCATTATGTTTTACAGTGTATGTATATACAGTAAACGCAGCAGTGGAGTCAAGCGGCTCCTGACGAAGCGTTTGAGCAAAACCACAAATTAAACTGAGCGGCTCTCATTAAACATGTATTTCCCTCCATCCCTCCATTCACCATTCATTATGCAGCACTGTTATGTATGATTGATGAACGCTACGCTAAAAATGTAGTAACAAACTCCCTGATGAGTCTAAAACGAGATGTAAACACGGAAGGAGCAGCCGCGACACACTGTCCTTCCTCAGATAACAGAAGTGATTACATAAAGAACCAATCAGCCTTCAGTAATCAGAATATTCAGTAATGGAGCAGGTCTATACACTACAAATCACTGATCAATCGACTGACACACTAAGCAAATTAAACTACAACTGACACTATTGATTATATTAACAACAGAGTTATTTATCGATTATTTCAGTCAATTACGGCTCCATATTCTACATTTTTCTTGTATTTTAAAGAAAAAAAAGTTTTAAAAAATTACACATCCTCTACAGAGTACGAGAAATAATGACAATATGATAATTGCTGAAATTATTATTATTATTTTTTAAATAAGTTGGTCCGATGGGGTGGAAAGCAAAACTCAAGGATGCATAAATTATTAAATTTCTCCTAAATGTTTTACATTCAATCAGTGCATTTTATATTAATGTGGAAACAGATATACAGTCATATGCTAATTATTAGTGTCCGATATATTGTTTGGCCAGTAAAATCAGACAATATCAGAATTAGTTTTCCTTATAGACAGTTGTATGCAAAGGTGTGAACACCTTACAATGTACAATTTTACAATGTCAAATTAAATGTGTTGATTTTCTAAGACAAAATAATTTAACACATCCTTTATACAATGTATTTGTCACATTTGGCACATTTTATGTTTTATTTATTTATTTCCCCACAATACGTTAAATTCAGAAAATAAACAAATACGTGATTGTGCCTTAAAATGTGCAGAAGTATGTTTTCTGTGGAGCATCTGTAAACTAATAATAATAAAAAAATGACATTGAATTTGACCTGGGGTGCCCAAACTTTTGCACACGATTGTATAAAAATAAAACTGATTCTGACATTGTCTGATTTTATCGGCCCAACAATATATCGGCCAGGCCCTGAGCTGAATGGCAGGCCTGTCCACTATTCCTACTGGAAAAACCTCGAAGTTAGAGCTAACTGGAATCATCTGTAGCCAGTTATCTAGAAACACGCTTCGTGAAGTGCGCCAGTATGGTGTTAGCATAGCGTAAAGGAGCCCCACCTTGGTCTTCATGAACTTGGAGTGGTTCTTGTACACCTCCATCTGTTTAATCTCCTCTTCGCGGTCCTCGGTGGTCAGCAGGCCGTTGGCCTTTAGCATCTGGATCTCGTCCTCCAGGTCGCGGATGTTTCGCTCCAGGGAGGCGATCTTGGTGTCCTGGACGAAGAGTTTGGAGAAGAAATTAGCGTGGCTAAGCTCCATCATGCTAGGCTAACATGCGCACAGACAAATTCAAGCCATGTCAGAAAATCAGCAAATCGGCTGGGTATGAGGTAGAGCTCCAGAGAGAGAGAGAGAGAGACAGAAAGAGAGAGAGAGAGAGAGAGAGAGAGAGAGAGAGAGCAAAGCTGTGGGTGTTGTGCAGGAGAAAGAAGAGAAACTGCAGCGTTGCAGCAGAATCCTCCTCCTCTCATGCTAATGGATTAGCATCTAATCACCATTTGGTAGAAGTGAGCGCACATCCAGTCCGCCAGCAGCTACAGTGCAGTAGAACAGATCAGAGAGGTACAGAGCAGAGGGAGAGAGAGAGAGAGAGAGAGAGAGAGAGAGAGAGAGAGTGCATTTCCTCCTGCTCTGCTTGTAGACTGCAAAACCGTGAGTGCAGGGTTAGCTTCTAAGCTTTTTAAATAAATAATACAACGTCTTCAAGATTAGCCACGGTCCATCTCACAGTCCTACAGAGAACTCAAGAGAAACCTTATCTCTCTCTTTCTCTCTCTCTCTCTCTCTCTCTCTCTCCACTTCCTGACCCGGGATCTCCATCAAAAGCTTGCAACGGTGCCCGTCCCACAGGCCGAACATACATGGAGATATAGGCTCGCTCTGCTTTACTGCTGTTTGTAATGCTGTGTTGTTTACATTTTCTTTAGGACTCAACAATTTAGCATGTTAGCCTGTCATTTTTCCTATAAATTAAAGCGTATGGCACCTGGCCCATAGGCCACCCTGGTGCAGGGTTCAACCAGCATGGCCAACATGACCAGCTTAACCAATGCTCAGTTCATGCTGGTCAACAAGCTAAACCAACAAACCCAAACAAAAACATACTCTATGCTAGTCAACCAATTTAACAAACTTGAGCTGGCCAAGCGATCTTTTTAGCATGCAGATAAAAGGCCTTTGATGCTATGCTGTAGGTTTTAACGCTGTTTTGTTTACATTTTTACATTTCGTTTGGCATTCAGTTTAGCAGTTTAGCATGTTAGCATGTCATTTTGGCTAATTTCAATGAAAAAATAAAGCTTGCAACGGCGCCCGTCCTACAGGCTGAACACACATGGAGATATAAGGCTCGCTCTGCTTTGCTGCAGTTTGTAACACTGTGTTGTTTACATTTTCTTTAGGACTCTTTTTAAACAACTTAGCATGTTAGCCTGTTGTTTTAGCCATTAATTAAAGCATATGGCGCCTGGCCCATAGGCCACCCTGGTGCTAAGACCAGGTTTAGCTGGTTTCAGAGGGTCTAAGTTGCTCTTTGATGGCAAGGTGGGTTACAAGATGGACATCCAGCTGCACTTGCTGTTGTAGTGGAAATTATCAGGCTGCTCACTGGAAAAACCAGCATATGTTATGACCATACTGGGTGGCCAGTAAAACCAGCACCATACCAGCGTAAACCAGAGATGTGCTGTTTTTCCAGCAGTCAGTTTAGCATGTTTATCATTTCTGCTTACAATGAAAAACATTTCAAGAGTTCTTTAATCAAGAAAATGGTTCTATGTAGAACCATGGACAGTCGATTTAAGGGTTCTGTGCATCATAAGAGCGTTCTTTAGTTTGACGGGGAATGTGCTGTTCATGGTTCTATACAGAACCTTTTTGAAAAGTTTCTATATAGCACCACAAAAGGGTTCCACTATTGTTACAAGCCAAAGAACCCGTTTTTTGGTACTACATAGAACCCTTTTTGCTTTTTTAGGCTAATGATCAGCAACTGCCTTCCCTTTCTTTATCCTTCTCTCTCTCTCTCTCTCTCTCTCTCTCTCTCTCTCTCTCTCTCCACTTACTGATCCAGGATCTCAATCAAAAGCTTGCAATGACACCCATCCTACAGGCCAACTACACAACGAGATACAAGCTTTGTGGTGTAGTTTTTAATGATGGGTTCTTTACAGATCCTTTAGCATCCTGTTTAAGCTATTTAGCATGTTAGCTTGTCATTTTTGTGATAAAGTATAAAGAACCCATCCCATAAAAGTTCAGCTAAGACCAGTTTTTGCCAGTTTCAGGCGGTCTAAGCTGGTCTTTCGTCCAACGTGGCGAAAACATTCCCTAGACGTTTGACTAGCATAGTGCGCAAGTTGGTGGTTTAGCTGGTCCAGCATGACCAACATGACCATCTTAATCAATGCTTGGTCATGTTGGTCAACTCAAACAAAAACATACTGTATGCTAGTCAACCAATTTAACAAACTTGAGCTGGCCAAGCTGTCTTTTCAGCATGCAGATATAAGGCCTGCGCTGCTGTGCTGTAGGTTTTAATGCCATTTTGTTTACATTTTTACATTTTGTTTAGCATTCAGTTTAGCAGTTTAGCATGTTAGCGAATCATTTTTGCAAATTTCAGTGAAATAAAACAGTAAATGAACGCTACTGTGATCCACACTGTAGCCCAAATGATTAGCAACTGCCTTCCATTTCTTTCTCCTACACTTCCTGACCCAGGATCATCAAAAACGCTTGCAACTGCACCAACCTTTGCGCCAAACATGCATGCAGATACACGGCCTACAAGGCCTTTATATTTAGCCTTTTGTTTAGCAATTAACAATTCAGCATGCCATTTTTGCTATAAATTAAAGAACCTGTCCTTGGGTCAAACAGGCATGCAGATATGAGGCCTGCGCTGCTGTGATGCAGGTAGTTTAACACTATTTAAACCTTTACATCTCCTCAAGCATTCTGTCGAGCAACTTAGCATGTTAGCATGTCATTTCTGCTATTCATTGAAGCACATGGCACCTGTACATAGAGCAAACACACAAATGTCAGCAGGGTCTGTATTGCTGAGCTGTAAGGTTTTAACATTATTTAAACCTTTACATCTCCTCAAGCATTCTGTTGAGCATGTTAGCATGTCATTTCTGCTATGCATTAAAGCATATGGTGCCTGTGTATAGGTCAAACACACACTTGGCAGTAGGATCTGTATTGCTGAGCTGTAGCTTTTAATGCTATGTTGTTTACCTTTCTTTCAGCATTCTGTTGAGCAATGTAGCATGTTAGCGTGCCATTTCTGCTATATATTAAAAGCACACGGCGCCGGTCTTACAGGCCAAACACACATGCAGATATGAGGCCTTTGATTTTTAACAATTTTACATTTAAGCATTCTGTTTATCAATTTAGCATCTCAGCATGTCGCTCCTGAGGAAAACGTGCTCGAAAAGAAAGCATAAAAACGTCGCACACTGTACCCTTTTTCATCCAAATGATGAGCAACTGCCTCCCATTCCCTTCGTCTCTTCTCTCTCCCTCTCTCTCTCTCTCTCTCTCTCTGTTTTTCTCCATCTCTCTCTCTCTCCCTACCTTGCCTGCATTAGTGGTTGTAAACAACCCCCTGCTGTTCCCATGGCAACCGCATCCAGACTCCACGCTCGCCCAAAGGTGCGAGCGAGAGCGAGAGGGGGCGCTATGGGAACCGATGCTAAACTGGTTTCAGCACAGACAGCGCCGTGCATTATGGGTAAGCAAGCTGAACGGTGATTGGCTGGAGTGGATGTCTGTCTGCTTTGGGCCAGCAGAGGAGGACTGTGGGTAATACTCTGGGGGAGTCCAATCAGCGGGGTCCTGTGGGGTGTGTGTAGTGTGTGTGAGTGAGCTGTATGAGGTCATGTTTTATTTTTAGCGGAGTGTGTAATGGCTCTGCCGGTGGGGAGAGGGCACACACACACACACACACACACACACACACACATACACACACTCACTCTTCCATCAGCAGCCCGGCGAGCCTTCTGCTCTTCTCCTCCCCTTGTTTTCCTCCCACTCTCTCATTACTATTTCATTTTGTTTGTTCTCTGTGTTTTCTGGAAGTTTCACTTCAAAAGAGGAGAGTTACAATTATGCGTCTCACAGTTGAGCTCTATGATCTGATGGGTTTTGTTCTGGATGTTGTTCAGAGCAGCCTAAACCCACACTGCACCCGTACCGCGGGAAAAGTACTGTCACACTGGTGTAGCGTTGGGCGGTGTCCTTATTTTTAATACCTTCAAAACTTCAAATATTACTGCGGTTTACAGTACTACAGTGCCAGGGGTGGGTGGGGAGGGTTTGGAGAGGTGGGAGTGGGGGTGTTGTTGAAGGTAACATCAGTGATGTAAACCATATATTCTCTTAAACAGTGATCTCCAGCCCGGGTCCTGAAGTGCAACCTTCCTGCAGAGTTTAGTTCCAACCTGTATCCAGTTGGAGGTGGGGGGTGATTCTTTAATGTATCACGATGCGGATGATTCTGAATCAATTCACACACACACATTTTCTTAACCGCCTATCCTCCTGGGTCATGGGGGGAGCTAGAGCCTATCCCAGCAGTCATTGCGTGGAAGGCAGGATACGCCCTGGACAGGTTGCCAGTCCATCGCAGGGCATATAAATCTACACTCACAGACATTTACATCTACACTGGACTGTGGGAGGAAACCAGAGAACCCGGAGGAAACCCGCACAGACACGGGGAGAACGTGCACACAGAAAGGACCCTGGTCACCCGGCCAGGGAATCGAACCCAGGCCCTTCTTGCTGTGAGGCATTAGCGCTACCCGCTGCACCACAAATATGCACATAACAAAGACACAAGATGGATGAGCGAGAAATCCGACCAGCGTCCTCTGCATTAAAAGCTAGCGTATGGAAGCACTTTGGCTTCTATGGAGTTGAACCTGGACAGGAGCCACACTACATGCAAGTTGTGTCACACTAAACTAAAACATTTTGGAAACACATAAAACATGAGAAACCATATAACACATTTCCACCCGGAGGAGGACGAAAAACGCCCGGTTGTTGTTGCTGCCAACAAAAGAGCCATCAAGCAAGCGATGTCAGACCTTCCGCCCAACTCGGAAAGGGAGAAGCGAACTACAAACTCTTTCGCAACTTTTACTGCTAAGGATTTGCGTCCGTACTCAGTCTTTAAGAACCAGGGCTTTCGCACTGTGTTGGACACTTTGAAGCCGAGAGACAGTGTCCCGCCTCGAAGCGTCTCATGTGTTCCAAACAAGAGAGAGCCTTTCAGTTGACTTGCCTCATTGCTTCCATTTGCTTTATTAATAAAAGACATTGGAAGTAAATTCAATATGGAAAAAAGATGCATCCATTATCGTTTAATAATCGCATTGCAGCCCTCTGGATCGTAATCAAATCGAATCGTGAGATGCCTAGAGATTCCCACCCCTAGTATCCAACAAGCTGCCTCGCCCATTAACTCTAATACTTCTGATCCAGCCAATCAGGGAAAGAAATTGATTAGAAGTTGATTAGCTGGAGCAGATATGGCAAACTGTGGTTAGAAGCGCTCTAATATAAGAGGAGATGGCAATCCTCCTATCATAAACCTTTGTTTTTCTTGTATTAGACGCATCGTTGTTTGTTGGAAAAAGGACACGTGATAGAAAACATGTTGAATATGAATGACAGGACAGTCAATGTATTATATTACGATCTACAGCAGTTAGTTCAGGGTACTCAGGCATTTTCCTATGTCGCTTTTTTGCCGTCTCGCCCTGCGTTATTTCAAAATCGAAAAAAAAGGCAAAAAGTATACTTAACCTTACATGGTGACCAAATAACTGAACGCAGTGCGCGACCTTCAAGCCACCATTCAATAAACTTCAAACCACTTATTTAACAATCACTAAAACTTAAGCCGTCTTGCTAACTGGGAAAGAGGAGATGGTTAGCGTTAGCTCAGCTACCATGATAACAGCTCGGTTCACCACAGAACGTTCGCTTCAGACTAACTGAAGAACCAACACAATTTTAGATGATAATGACTCAATTCTGAGGGAGTGAAGTTGAGCAGCTGGTGCTGAAGAGACAGAAAAGCGAAATTAAACCTGTTCTGTGGTGTTTGGATCCGTAGCCTGATCGGCTAACTGAACATTAGCTTAGAGAGCAGCTACAGACCCGAACAGATCCACACGTCACAGTACAGGTTTGATTCAGGCTAACTGCTCTGCTGAAACAAGTGTAGACAATTAAAACTAATCTCTGAGAGAGTAAAAGTGCAGTGACTGAGGTTGGAGTGACAGAAAGCTGAAAGAGAACCTGTTCTGCGGTGTTCGGGAGGTAGCTTAGTTAGCAGGTTTGGTTTTAACTACCTGATGCTAAAATGACCCCCATTTACAGGAGAGCGCAGGTGTTGGAGTGAAAGCTGAAATTAAACGTCTTCTGTGTTGTGTGCAAAAATGTGTGGCTCTGATATTAGTAGCTGTTCTCCGTCGCTGAGCCACTTTCCTGCTTAGTTTTTCTTAAATTTTTTCCTGTCTCTTTCTGTCAGCACCGCCTATCGGTGAGCTCCCACCACCACTCACCGACTCCTCTAAATTATTCATGGATGGAACGTGTTTATTTGGTCATTCAGACTTGGAATATAAATTTTACGTCAGAATTTTAAAACACCATCATAAATTTTAAATACTGTCATTATTAAATAATACGGTGTACTTAATTACCGTTATGCCACCTATTTCAGTGGAAAAAAGTGACTTAATTTTTTTAAAAAACAACTTGCATAGACAAAAGCAGAAGCTCAAAAAACTACTTAAAGCTGCACTATGTATGACGTTCGTTGTTAAAACTGAAAGAAGTGTCATTAGTGAGTGAGTAAAATAAAAACAGGCTAAAATATGGTGAGTGTGTGCGCTGCAAGTCATGCCTGAAATAATCATTTTAAAGTCAGAGGCGTCAGGTCGGGAGTTTTTCACAACACGTTGTACGTCTTTTATTTTATTTTTTATTATTTCCTTACATATTATTGTCACACTCACAGATTCCAAAAGAAGATCTGGCTCGATATTTGACCTCAAATCATCTCAAAATCTACATTATACTGATGAACTCTCTTTAAATTCTCATTCAGTCATCAGATTCATCCTCTCAGGGAAGAGGTCTGAAGCACAACCCACGTTACAAAATGTTCCGCATGTTGCATGCAGTTATACATTTCCACCAGAGAGGTCTCCACATCCCTAAATCTTACATAGTGCAGCTTTAAGTACTGAGTAACTTCCAGAACGGCAGTGAAACGTCTTAGCAGGAGGAGGACAGTACAACAGTAAGTGCACTTAAGTTTTATTTTGGAAAATTTGTACTTTAACAAGTACTTTGAGTATTACTGAAACTGAATTCTTATACTCAATTATAATAATTATTAGTATCCGGTTCACTCTGCATTACTGACTGTGCAGAGTTCTGTAATAGGTGGAAACTGGATCAGATGATTTCTGATTGTATGGGATCATGAGTCCTATCATATATACCACATTAAAAATGTTACTACTCTGAAAACGTAGATGAGTTTGTGCAAAATCCACCAGCTATACATACAAATCAAATAAATTAGTACTTTTATTGAAATCTATGGAGCCCTGCTGGTGACATCCTGTATAAATAAAAATAATGTGTGGCCACGCTGTATTAACATGTGGGAACAAGATCCTAATCTGTGGCCACGACTTAGTAAGGTGTGGGAACAAGATAATTAAGTCGTGGCCACAACTTAGTAAGGCGTGGGAATGAGATCATGCCTTACTAAGCTGTGGTCAAGGCTTAATCATTTTTTTCCCATATCTTATTAAGTTGCGGCCATGCATTAGGATATCGTTCCCACACCTTACTAAGTCATGGCCACGACTTAGCTATCTTCTTCCCACAACTTACTAAGTTGTGGCCACACGTTATTTTTATTTACATGGGATGTCACCAGCAGGGCTCTGTAGCAATAATTTATTGTCCAGGTGTTTTATAGATGTTTGACAGCGTTAGTAGAGCTTTCGGTTCTTCATAACATCTGGTGACATCTGTTTAAAGGCCAACAGTGTCATCTAGTAAATTTTCTCATCTGTGAATTTTCAAAGGCAGTTAAGACATCAGCTGTTAAGGTGCTCAGAAGCTTATTGTTCATGTCATGTTGGTTAAATGTTGTATTAGTTTGTGTTATGCTTAAAAAGACCTCAGACTGTTTTTGATGTACTTTTTGGGTGTTTATTCGTGCATCTTGGTGGGTTTTGAACTTTTTTGCCTGGAAACTATAGCTGCAATCTGGCAAAGCTGACTATGCAGGGTTCTAAGAATGAAGCTGTAGTGAAGCCACTCTTACCTTCATCTCTATTATCGTCTGAAGAGCTTTAGTCTTGCTGGGGTCCTGATGCAGCTGGTTTCTTCTGTGAAGCTCCTGAAAGCAAAGTTTGAGTAAATGTACATATTTTTGACCAAACAGCGTTGATATTTTCTGCTCAAGAAGCCAAATCAGAGGCCAGAATCCAGAGTAACTGCTTTTACAGTCTGCTTCATCATCTATTTATTGTATTATGGTACATATTTTGCTGTTGATTCTGTTCCCTTGAGCATCATGGAGAGAAAAAATTACAAATGAAATGCATAATTATAGTAACAATAATATCCATAATTATAATAACAATAATAGACATATAGTATAAATTGTGTGAATAAACATTATGATGTTCAAATGTCACAATAAAAATGACATTACTATTAACACCACTACTAGCGCTACTACTACTAATAATAAGGTTATACCATTATTACCCTATAGTATATTAAGTTTTTTGTTCAAACTGAGGGGCTGGCAGCTTATGTTTTTAACTAGAACCAGGCTGGTCAGCTAGCTAACAGGCTGAAAGAGCCAACAGCCTAAACAGCTCCATCATTAATATCACAGGCTTGAATTAAAGTACTTACGGTTTGATTAACTGTAAAACTGCAGTATAAAAGTCTAAAAATGTCACTTGAATGACTCACATGCTTCAAATGTCCATGTTTCAGTCAGAAGTCGCGTCAAACCCAGGCTAAATCCCAAACAGCTCCCTAAATAGTGTGCTAGCTTTAGAAGTTCAGAAATCCTAGCCTCTACAGCCAAACAGTGGATCATTTATCGAGTGTGGATGTCTGAGTCCCAAATGAATGTTTTTTAGCTGTATTTTGCTCTGTTCGGGCTGCAGGATCCAGTATTTAAACTCCTATGTAGTGCACTATGTAGGGAGCAGGGAGCCGTTTGAGATTCAGCCCCAGTGTGAGAAGAGACGCAGCTGGATTGGTGCTAAATTAGACTCGTGGTGGTGATTTGGTGACCAAAAAGTACTTAGAAGTGAAGGGTTTTACATTAAACAAAGCTGTGTTATCATATGTTCACTGCTACATAACAAAATGTTTAAAAAAATCATGAAATGACTGAAATGTACAGCGACGGGTGACTGAATGCTCTCCTCATTCAGCGGTCCATGGTTGCTTGGCAACGATACCTAAAGAAACGATTCTAACCGATTCTAAAGAAACTACATTTTTGGTGGAATACTTGTTTATGTCAATTAATATTAATAATAACTGACTAATAATTAATTGTTTTCTAAAAAACTGTGTATTTGATCATATTTTATGTTGGCTGCTGTTTTCTAAAAGCAATAAGCCACTTGAGGGTTTTTTGAATTTGATCACATTCGCTTGGCGTCATGCCTAAAAACACCTTTCCCGTGATAAAACTGCAGTAACGCATGGCCTCTCGTGGTTTGTTGCTTTATTATAACACACCTGTCTCAGGCAAATATTCTCCTGTATAACAGATACAGAACAACACACCTGTCTCAGGGGAGCTTACCTCCCGGAGGTGAATATTCTCCTTCTCCTTCTGGTCCAGTATGACCTCCAGGTGGCCCAGCTGAGCCTCAGCCTCAGCGATGCGCCGGGCTCTGTCCTGCTCCTCCTCCTCAGATGCCCTCCCGGCCACCGGGGGGAGCCCTTTACTCTGCAGCATTTCCAGGAGCTTCTTGATGGACTCGTCCCGGGCCCCCAGCGTCTGCTTCTGCGTCTCGATCCTCAGCTCCATCTCCTCCAGCGTCTTCCTCAGCAGGAACAGCTCCTTGGCCTGCCGGTCGTGTTCGGCCTGGAGCCTGCGGAAGTTCTCCTCGGTCAGCTCGATGGTGGTGAAGTGTTCGGCGCCGGCGGCCCGCGAGCTGCTCTCCTGCTGCAGGAGGTGGTTCAGGTCCCTCTGCGTCCGCAGCTCGTCCTGCAGGGCCTGGATGGTCATCTGAAGGTGCTGCAGGACGAATGTCAGGCTTATTAATCTAAAGACTTATTGCTCAACAACTATTACTAATGTGTAAGTCCTGTAGCAGAACAGAACTGAGTTTAAAGGGTAAAAACGACTTCAGGACCACATACAAACTAAAGTCTGAGGTAGACTGGATTTTAAGTGATAGCTCTGCCAAATTTACCCAGTTTCAGCCCTGAGTGTTTGGTGTTACACTGGAGCTACGAGGCTAATGCAGCTAATGCAGCTAACACTGGAATCCTATACTCTATACACCTAAATTATCACACACTCGCCTCAAAGCGTGTGGAGTTGTTCGGTAATCTCTAATAATCTCTAATAAACTTGATTATCCAGTTTCTGACACTGTTTGACTCACTGCTATCTGAAAACAGCAAAGCTAAAAACATTAGCGCCCCTCTTGAAACCTGAATTTTGTCCAATCTTTTTTCCTCAACATAAGTAATCTGATTTTTTAACGCCATGCGGTTTGAGACGATAGTGTGATGATTTAGGCATGCAGTTAGCACCATGCTAATCGCTGATGCTATAAGCTTGCATCACTTGTTAGCTACATTAGCCTCGTAGCTCCAGTGAAAGAAGAACTCCAGACACCAAACACGTCTTGGCTGATCGACTACATTTGGTTTAAGGGGGGGAAACTAAACTGTACATTACTGTAAACGGTATATTACTTTTCGGAAACTGCCTTGCCAGAATGAATATCTGTGCTGCTCTGGTTCAGTTCCATATATTTTATCAGCGAAGGATCAGAGACTCACTTATGTGGCAATCTGAGAGTTTTATATTTGGCGGAATTCAATATCTTATACCTTATTTATTTTATTTTACGTTGTTTGTTTATTTGACAGAGACAATACAGATAAACACCGTTACATAGAATACAACACATGTATATGGGGCATCTAGCTTAAGCTATTACAGCCCCAGTCCCTGATTAGCCTTTAAAAGAAGGACAGAAATTAACAGCACAGCATGTAAATACATTTAATATATAAAACATGCATAACTGTATCATTAAATTTGTGATGAATGCATCTTTATGTCTGTATATCAGCTAAAACTTGCAGAATGTTCACAAGGTTTAAACACAAGTTTATAACAAAAATATTGAGAAATCATATGATCACTGATCAGTGATCAGAAAACAACATGAAAAATCCAGTTTTAATCCAGTAACTGTGTGTTTCAGTTATATTTATTACTTTGGAAGGCCTAACATTTTCATTAAATCCTCTTTTCACAGGTTATAAAATCCCTGCAGCACAATCTATCTACTAATAATATTAGATCTCTGGCTGATGATCGTACCAAAGGGCAAAATATTAATTAGAACATTCTGTTTTTTTCTTTAATTATGATCGTAGAGAAGGAAAATTGAATTTATTACTGTAGAGAGGAAAGTGTGAAGTTAGGCCACAGTCGGCTGCCTCGTCTCGGAGGAATACGAACTAAATTACTACCAAACACGCTGAGAGAAGAGACGTGTGCCAGATCTGCTAATGAGAAGAGGAGTTTTTAATGCTGTTTTTAATTGTTCTGTCGGCTCTATGTGGCACGGTGAGCGCCGCGGGCTGGAGCTCTGATTATGTGGGACGAGTGAATCAGGGGAAAGTGGAGCAGGAACAGGCCGCGTCCTTCCAGGTGTCAACGGCATCAGTATGGGCCTCCCTCTGAGCTTCTTCAGGGTTCTCTACACCACTTTGGCCTTTTCAGCTAATCTAGAACATTAAACTGACCTGTTTCTTTTTAGCATATCCAGAAAACTACATTTATTTGTTCTTGTTTCATCTTATCTAGAACACCACACCTATCTCTGCCTTTTACACTTACATAGAACACTCCTCTTTTCTTTTGTAGGTCATTATATTATCTAGATCATTATATTGTACTTTTTAAGCATATTTAGATAACTACACTTATCTGTGCTCTTTTAGCTTTTCTAGGATGCCACATTTATCAGTGGGTTTTTTAGCTTATCTAGAACTTAACACCTAACTAGTTTTTAAATGTCTTCTAGATCATTATTCTGTACACACCTGATCTTGAACACTGTCCGTTTTAGTTGGTCTTATCTAGAACACAATTCTGTGCACCTCTGGTCTTACCTAGAACAGTATTCTGTTTTGTTGATTATATCCAGAACAATATTATTTTTTCTTGGCCTTATTTAGAACATGATTCTGTGCACTCTTAGTCTAAAACAGTATTTTGTTGTTTGCTATTAGTGGAAACAGTTCAGAGGGAACAGATGAGAGTGAACAGTTCAGAGGGAACAGTTGAGAGGAAACAGATGAGAGTGAACAGTTCAGAGGAAACAGATGAGAAGGATCAGTTCAGAGGGAACAGATCAGAGGGAACAGATTACAGGGAACAGATCAGAGGGAACAGATCAGAGGGAACAAATTGGACAGAACAGTTCAGAGGGAACAGATCAGAGTGAACAGTTCAGGGGAATTTTTAGAGGGAACAGCTCAGAGGGAATAGATCAGAGGAAACGGTTTAGGGGGAACAGCTCAGAGGGAATAGATAAGAGGAAACAGATCGGAGGGAACAGTTCAGAGGGAACAGTTCAGAAGGAGCAGTTCAGGGGGAGCTTTTTAGAGGAAACAGATCAGAGGGAACAGTTCAGAGGAAACAGATTAGAGGGAACAGCTCAGAGGGAATAGATCGGAGGGAACAGTTCAGCGGGAACAGATCAGAGGAAACAGAGTAGAGGGAACAGTTCAGGGGGAATTTTTAGAGGAAACAGATCAGAGGAAACAGATCAGAGGGAATAGATTAGAGGGATCAGTTCAGGGTACAGTTCAGAGGAAAGACAGGATACACTGAAAAACAACCAGAAAACAAACAGAAAGCAGATTATGCGAACATGGTGACAAACCTTGGTCCTGCGGGCATCCAGCAGATGCTGAGGAGCGATGGAGATGGAGTGGAAATGAAGGAGAGCAGAGCGTCAGAGCACAGCACACAAGCAGATGGACACAGCAGTGAGAGTCAGTCAGGGCTGCACGATATCGACTAAATAACCATCACGATTATACTGCTATATATTTTACAATTACATTATGATTCCGATACATTCACCCTTAGAAGTCACAGTTATTAACAACAAAAGCATGCTATCGTTTTATATTTACGCAGTAATAAATGAGAGGATGTGCTACATCAGTCCATTGGCTGCCTGTTAAATTCCGTATAGATTACAAAATTCTTTTATTGACGTATAAAGCCCTACATGGGCTCGCTCCTGAGTACCTGCAAGACCTTATTTCCCTTTACGAGCCACCACGATTACTCAGATCACAGAGTGCTGGCTTTTTAATAGTTCCCAGAATTCAGAAGGTTTCATCTGGGGGAAGAGCCTTTTCTTATAAAGCCCCCAAACTCTGGAATGATCTTCCAGAAAATGTTCGGGACTCAGACTCAGTCGCAATATTCAAATCTAGGCTGAAAACTCATTTGTTTAGTTTAGATTTTGGTAGCTAATGTTTCCCCTTGGATAAAGGCAGCAGATCCAGGGGTCCATGGACGCAGGGAATTATAGTAAACTGAGACTGGTGCTGTCGTCCCGCCGCTCACACGCGATCACTCAGGTTTGTGGACGGTGGAGCGGAGGAATGCCAGATTGTTTCAGGGTGCTCCCGTGTCTGTGTGCCCTTTTGGTTCTCTCCTTTTAGTTAAGCTGTTATAGTCAGATCTGCCGGAGTCGTTAGCCACACTCTGGAAATGTTTTACATACTACTATACATACACCCATACAGAACTAAACTAACTCCATTTCCCTACCTTTCTTCCGAGAAAACGACTGCCCACCTGTCCAGCCGGACACTGCTGGATGATTGTTTGTAGAGCTCTCCGGCTACCCGCTTCAGACCAGTTACCCACAACCCAGTCACCGCCACCTGCCTTGGACTGGCTGCCCACTCTACACTGAAGTCTCCTAACTATTATTACTACTATTACTATTAATATTAGTAGAATAATAATTTTGTACGTAGTTTGACCAGAGGAGGATGGGTCCCCCCATGTGAGCCTTGGTTCCTCCCAAGGTTTCTTCCTCAACTGAGGGAGTTTTTCCTGGCCACTGTCGCCCCTGGCTTGCTCACCTGGAGGATTTACATTTCATGTTGAAACTTTGTTCTAAACGGATTTCTGTGAAGCTGCTTTGTGACAACATCAGTTGTAAAAAGCGCTATACAAATAAATTTGATTTGATTTGATTTGATTTAAATAAGGTTAAAGGTTCTAATAATATTTATTCTTAGATGTTGAGGCACAAAATCACCAAGAAGGTTAAAAATAGCTCCAATCTAGCACTGCTGTGTATAAATACAGCTAAATGAAGTATCAACTCACACTGCAAAAACTTTACTGTAGAAACAGTTAAATGCAGACACAAATACTAACACAGGAATTTTAGTATTTAGACCCTTATGCAGTTTTTTACATCAATACTTCATCTAACACAATCTCATAATACCTAATATAACCATCACTGGAGTGCCATGACCAAGAGACGCTGGGACTCACAGAATCCCTCTCAGCCAATCACAATGAAAGGCCGAAGCTGACTGAGGTATTATTATATTTAAATGATTATATAAAGTAAACCAAACAACAATAACTTTAGACCTCTAAGGGTACAAATCTTGATGTAACTGTATCGGCTAAATATACGCTCTTAAAAAAGATGGTTCTTCAAGGGTCCTTTTGTAAAGAAAAAAAAACCCTTTGCATGGGTAAAGTGTTCTTGGCATCATGCAAGGGTTCTCCAGATTGATGGAGATTGTGCTGTAATGGTTCTATATAGAACCTTTTTGAAACGAGTTCTTCTGTTCTTCTGTTGTTAAAAGCTCATATAGTAACAACAGCAGAACTCTTTTTGGTGGTATATAGAACCCTTTTCTTTACTAAAGAACCACTGAAGAACCACCTTTTTGAAGTGTGTAGGTTAAACTGCAATAATATGTTTATCTAAATATGGTGCAGCCCTTACAGTGATTTTCAGTGGAGTAATGAAATCATCTACATCAGTACAAACAACCCCCTCCCACACACGTACTTCATCATCATCATGGAAAAAAACTGGAATAAAATGTCGGAAATTAGAACAGAGGCCTTTTCAGAAAGAGACAAATGATTCAACACTGAAGGAATGAAGGAATTTCACCTAATTTTCATCTAAATTTCTGAATGATTAAATGATAAAGATGTAAACAGAGTCGTTCAGAGTGGTTTGGCGTGAAATGCTCTGTTTTTGAGAAACTTGCTGAGTCAGAATTGTTCACTGTGGTGGTGATAGGAACCAGACGTCCACCTCTAAAAGCTCCCTCACAGAAAGTTATTACTTTAATTGGATATGAATTCACTGCCTGATGACTGAGACACTATTTGACGATAGTTTTGAGAAGATTTTGGCCTTAAAATCCATTCATGGTGGAGGGATACAATGAGAAAACCTATTATTTCAGATTTTCCACTGTTTTCCATCATCAACATTCCATATAAACTCAGAAGACTCGTGTAGGTTCACTGGTGGTTCTGGATAGTAAATAAAGTGTCTATGTTTGTGTTGTAGTCATGGCGACCCCTGGTTCCTATCACCACCACTGTAAAGATATCTGAACCATTTCACACCAAACCACTCTGAATCTCTCTGTTTACATCTCACACACTCAAATATGCAGAAATTCTGAAAGATCAGTGGACTCCCCCTTCAAGTGTGTCTGTGGATTGTGTTGTAATGTGCTGGTTTGTCCAGCAGTGGGCAGTGAGGGTTCGTTAGTGGTGTAATGACTAGGTTTGTCCAGCTGGGGGCAGTGGTGTGCATGTGATTGGGCCAGAGGGGCTGAACAGGCTCTGGCTGGTGTTAATTCCAGCTCTGTGGACACCGTCTTATGTAACGACTGTCTTTTTGGGACAAGAGACAAACAGTCATGCGTGCAAGACAATAAGCAGGACATACAGATTCACTTGTATATGTATTCAGTCCTCTGTTCCTAAAAATAAACAGTATGCAAACGACTCCATGAATAACCGCTCTGATTTATGTGCATATTTAATGTTCACTGAGCACCGCACAAGTGTTCTGATCATATCTGTACGATGTCTGTCACAATTAGGGCTGCTTAGCACATACGGATCGGGCCTAGTCTTGGACTAAACTTCAGAAGCAAATCACTTTTGAGAACTCATTAATCTTTAAAGGGCCTGTATCCCACATTTTCTCCTGTATTTTCAGAAGGAACAGTTTAGAGGACCAGTTCTGATAGAACAGTTCAAAAGGAACAGTTCAGAGGGAATAGATCAGAGGGAGCAGATTAGAAATAACAGTTCAGAGGGAACATTTCAGAAGGAACAGTTCAGGGGAAACTTTATAGAGCGAACAGTTCAAAGGGAACAGTTCGGAGAAAACAGATTAGAGGGAACAGCTCGGGGGGAACAGATCAGAGGGAATAGATTAAAGGGAGTAGATCAGAGGGAACAGTTCAGAGGGAACAGTTCAAAGGAAACATATTAGAGGGAACAGCTCAGGGGGAACAGATCAGAGGGAACAGTTCAGGGATTTTTTTTTTCTCCTGAGGTGTTAGTGAAACTGTCATGATTCATTTTTGCATGACCAACTAAACAGGCTTTTCCTAAGCCTTTAAGACTGATGTATGCAAATGAGCTCTATTCCGATTGGCTGTCACATGCTGTGCCTCATTCAAAAAGAAGTTCGGGCTGAAATACCCCTTTAAACTTCAGGGAGGGTAAACTGCTATAGGCTGAATAGGTGGACGCGTTTTGTGACATCACAAAAACCACTGCCTGCTGTACAGGGTTTCGAGTCATAGAACCTTTTCTGGTACTATACAGAACTTCTTTCCTACCAGTGCAGTTTCCATGTATGGACTGTGAGGAAAATTCTCCATGGTTTTCCATGATATGGGCCCTTCAGGTTAAATCCAAACCTCTAATGAACTGGACAGTCACCGAGGCCAGAAGCGGAGAGGGAGACGGGAGGGAGGAGAGGGCAGATTGATCCGTGTAGCTCTGACCGTCTGTCTGTGTTAATTAACTCTGATACAATCTAATACAGCTGAGGGGAATCATCTGTCTTTACTGCACACTCATCACTTCACTCGCTCACTCACTCACTCACTCACTCACTCACTAGTCCTATGGGTACTATATGGTTTAATAATATGTCCCATATATATACATATATATATTGAAGACTCTATATACAATGAGTCTTATAACCATTTTACATGTAAGCAATAATGAAATAATAATGTCCCATATATATACATACACATATATATATATATATATATATATCTATACATATATATATATATATATATAAGAATCTATATGTAATAACAAAATGTCCTGCATGTATTACGTATATTTAAGTATCTATATGTATTAATCTGTGTTGTAGGTATTAAATATATTATTTATATGAAATACAATATGTTCTATACTAAACAGTCAGAAACACTAAATAAAACTCTCTGTCTGGTCTATTTTTTCTTCTTCCTCTCTTGTGGTTTCAGATTATATTTCTCCCAGTCAGGAAGTTCACTTAGAGTGCCCTGCATTTCTCCCATCACTCTCTCTCTCTCTCTCTCTCTCTCTCTCTCTCTCTCTCTCTCTCTCTCCTAATCAATACTCTTCCTGAGCCTTAAATGAATGGGAGGAAACAGTCCAATAGTTCTATTTGCATAATTACAATCCATATACTGCGCACGCCCGCGGTTCAGTATGTCGGAGCAAGATGTGATGTGTGGAGCCCCCAGGAGTCTCAGTGATTCAGCAGTATTTTAAAGTGCTGGTCTCTGTCTGGCGTTAATGTTGCTCGCTAAACAAAACTAAAGCAGCGTGAGTTACAGTCCGTCTTAAAGGGCCAATATTCTACAC